ATTCTTCCTTGGAGCATTAATTGGCTTCGTTCTTGGTTTGTTGGTAAATTACCGCCAACTCTATCGCACTGGCGCATTACTTAAGACTGGAAAGTCTAATAATTTACAAAACCGTCAGCAAACAAAAATATTCGCAACGATAAAAGATCTGAAATGGACCCTAAATGTTCATTTAACAAAATGGCATTCTCGGCCGGCATAATTTGTAACAGTCAACTCCACGATATGGGACTACTGACCAAGACTATGAAGTCCAAAAAATTATCAAAAACTTTATTATCAGATATCGAAAAGTTGTGGAACGATTTGAGACAATTATACGATAAAAGATCCCAACCCCGCGGAAAAAGACCATTACGGTAATCCTCAAATACTTAACCGATTGCATAAAGAATCAAAATTAACTTGAAAAAAACTAGCTGATGTCTTTGAAATAAGCAAACACATTCTCCGTTGACAGTCGTTCGACCAGTGGAGGCGTTTGCGAGAAGCTTTTACGTTAAATTTATTTTCCTTACTTTTTTTCAAGTTTTTTGTTTCTTTCTTCGTTCATCATAAGTAGAGGTTGAATAGTTATAATTTTCTGTTCCTCTTGGTAAATTTTACAAGTGATTTTTTCTTGATCTAGATATTCCTGGAGAGTTTGAGTATCATTAATTTTAAATGTAAGGGCAATTTTTCTCCTTGAGCTTTTTTTAGAATGCTTCTAATGGTGCTGTAATTCTTTGGTTCCGACATACCCGAACGCCGATTCTAATTGTTTAACGATCTGGTTAAATCTGACCGCATTTTCAAGAGTTTACGTAACTTTATTGCTATAAGTGAATCGAACTTGGTATAGATTGAACAGTGTTCGCGTAATGCTTTAGTACAGGCTAACTATTACATGACTTGGCAGCTGTACTGTCTACCTTGTGGCTCTTAATGTCAACAACGCTTTCAGTATTGAGTCTGAATTTGTGTATCGGAAATTAAACATGTAAACACATAATAATCCAAGATTATTTCGGAACTACACGGTAATAAAATATCCTTCCTAAACACTTGATCTAAGCACTATCAATGTCATAAGATCCGACATTTCTGACTCGAATTAAGTGAAATACAGTGGACTCTCCCTTCTCTAAGTGCAGGTACTATATTTTCTCTCCCTAAATGCAGGCTCTCGTTTAGTCCCGAGCTTCCAAGACGTAATTCACTCTCTTTAAATGCAAATTCTCTATAAATGCAGGTTGTGTCCGATTTGGCCATATGGTCCCGTCCTATTGTAATAGATTCCCTAACGATTGCAATTTTGCATGTTCTCTCTTAATGGGCAAAAAGTAACATTAGATTCCATTCAATATCACGTTTCGGTTTCAAATCAATACTCTCTGCCAGTAACACGAGTCATCGCTCGGCGTACGATGTTTATACTCGGATGTCTTCGAATCGTTTGCTCTGTATAGAGCCATCGTCATTATAACGACTAACCAACATACCAATATCTTTCACTAGATCCGTTATTACGTCATATATGCTAATCGAGTAAGTTCGCCGCGAGAAAACTTTAATTCGGCGTCAGGAGATTGTCTGAAACAAATAATAATTTCAGCGTTCTTAATATTATTATGGATAAACCGATTTGCAGCTTGACAAAGTCGCATGTTTATGGTCAATATTAATTGATATTAATGTTAATATTTATTTCAAAGGTTGTCTCAAGTGCAAGATACATTGAGATTATTGACATTTAGATTTTAAGCCACAAGCTGTCAATTTCCGTCGTTACACATCAACCGTAATTGTAGATTTCAACCGTCCTCCCACAATGAACCAAATTTTGCCGCTCTCCAAACAGCCAAGTATCCGTTATCGTGCAGAGGTCTGCCCTGTAGGCTTCCCGTAAAGATGGTTTTTATTAACGGAACAAAATATGCCTGGTAAGTCGTTTAATTCGAAAGACCGACAGCTACAACTTTACTAAATTTCGCATTGATATCTTATTGACAAACGGTGCTCCAGCGCAACTTGTATCAAAGGCCACAGGTCAACCGCTTGTCACCATGGAGATCGGACCCTCTACGAGATCAAACGAAAAGGTCGGCCAGTAACACAGTGCACACATTGTCGCGAACTTCGCAAAACACAGAGAGTCCATGTCAAATGTACCTGCAATGAGCGTAAAATTGGGGACGGTAAGAAAATATCGTTACTACTACTGTTTATAGAATCTTCATTCCTGACGTATAAAACGGTCAACTACAGTAATATTACCAGGGACTCAAAGTACGGTTTCACCCAGTAATTCAAACATTGACGTGTCGAGTTTAACAGGAGCCAATATTGGTCTAAATTATAAGCATTCAGGTAAGAATTTTTACTTGTGAGCAATCACAATTCGTTTTCTATCTCATACTAAATACAATAATGGCGTTTGTAGTTGAGGCTTTGCTGAACCCTTGTAGATGTAGGATAGGAGCTAAATGCATATGCTGTCGACCAATTGATGAAGAGAAAGATTCATCAGGTCAGCGACGTCGGAGACGTAGCAAACCTAATAAACTATGCCATACGAGCAATAAAGGAAAGAATAATTCATCCGAGGTTCAAACCGTTCGAAAACTGGCACCACGTCCATTGCCTCAAGAACCCTACAGTAATTCACTCCGTCGACTCTCATTAACTATTATCACGCATGAAGATATCGGGAACAGCGACTCGCCGAACACGCCTGAATTTTTTGAAGACGATTCACAAGATCTGTTATCACAAATTTCATATGAATCGACTACTCCATCGCCTCAAGACGTTATTGAGCCGAGCTTGCCCCATCAAGACGATGATCCTGAAAATTATGCTATGAATGAGAGTGAGATTCTGGGGGAGACTGTGACTCAGGGTTCTTCAGAAGATCTTGTTAACATGATCTATCAGCCATTTCAAAGTTGTACATCTACGTTTGGGGATGGCAGTTGTTGTGGGACGCGTGCTTGTCATTGCGGTTCGTCGTGCTCTTGTGATGGGTGTACTACCCATGCACAAGCGGGGGAGCAAAGTCGTAATTCAGCTTCCAATTCCATAGACAGTGATGGATGCTGTCGGATAGACATAAAGAAACTGATAAATCCAGAACACACGATAGTAATCGATGAGGATGGTGTAGAAGTTTGTGGTTGTGGGTGCAAAAAGCCAAATTCTGCATGTTCTGATTGCGTCGCTAGTCTTTGCGAAGGTAATGTACTCTTATCTTTTTACTATTGTTCCACAAAATATTTCCCATCTTGCCAGATTCATCACATCGAATTCCATTTTATGTACAGAATATTTGTTACATCAACCAGCCTTGTGAAAATGCTGGATATTTTCATATTACTTAATAATACAACGCAATCTCTCAATTATTATTGATCATTAAGCGGGGCGGTAATACGCGACAGGCGTGAGAACAAGCGTGTATCATAGTGTATGTGTAGAAACATTAAATTGTACCATGTTTATATTATATTTGGCATTCGTTTGGTCAGAAAGTTGTAGTTGGATCTTGTCACCAACTACAGACTTTAATAGCTATTAATTTATCCATTGCTCGGGGGAAAAGTTAAAAAATTAACTTATTAATATTAGTGCTCGCCGCCTCATACCTTGAGCCAAATTTGATTTAAGAGAAATGCTCAATCATTTATAAGAGGAACAGTATATGATACTATATGCCGTATGAAATTGCCACAGATGTAATCTAGTATGTGACAACACAACTGCGCATTCTCGATTGACAGATCATCGTCGTGACAACATAATCAAGTTGCGCAACGCAGTGGCTTGGTCAATCCGGTATTTTGAGCAGAGATCGACAACTGCATGGATGCACGTGATATATAAAATAAAAAAAACAATCCTCGCATTCGATCCGTTCGTGGATCAATCGGTTCAAAATGCGTTCATTACGTTCAGCAGAGAAGATTGTGCGTGGACAGACGGCACAAATAATAGAGGCAGCAAAACATACATTCAATACAATAACATCCAATGACGTAAAAATACGTAACATACCAGCACCTGTGGAAGTTCCTATTTCTACGCTTGCCCATGGATTAGATCGAGTACTATTCAAGTGAGTTAAAGCTCCTTTTCGTCACTTTTTATCATCGCATTTACTCATTCTTTTTTAGTCCAGGTGTACACTATCTCCAGGATCCAAGATCACGTGTCTTTAACTTTGATCCGTTTCTCAGGGATATCTGTCCCCCACCAGAATTTGATTTTGATGCTCTTGGTATCCCATATATTCTCCCGTCGAAAGATAAGAATCTGCAAGACTTGGCAAGGAAGTACAGTTCAAAATATTGTGGATCAACCTCGTCGATGACTGGCGTGTTGTCACATGTATATTTCTTGATATCATCGTGGAAGCCGGTTGATATTTCGACATTGTCTTTAGCATTTGCAAAAGAGGTGACTAGGAAAGCATTACATTAAACAGCTATGCGAGATGCATGAATGCATCACTGATTGTTATTCTAAATAATGAGATTAACTTTGAGATCGTATACTTGTCGTGATGTAGTCTGCTTCTTACACATCAACAGCCAAATCACCGACAACTATATTTCTACGATATCGGGATGGCATTTACGCTGTTGAAGTTGACAAGAGCTTGGACGTTGAGAACATTTTAAAAGACTTTGTAAGTATTCTATTATCAATAAACAACACGCAGTAATCAAAAGTCGTTACTAAATGTATGTTTTATTTCAAAAGGGTAGAGAGTTAGAATTTTTCTATACAGTTCCACCTGGGGTGTTCAATCAATATCGAAAAGCGAATTCCGCGTCTCTACCACGCTTGTCAGAGCCGCCACCACAGGCATATAATTTTATAAAGGAAAGATTGAACGATATGATAATTTCAGAGTCATTTTGAGTGAGTACTTTTAATAACCCTATATTGACTGGATTCAATTATCCGACGTTAGGCAAACGATCTTCTTTTAAGAGCGCAGATCGATTGTCATGACCCGAGATTACCAAATAAGACGTTTGATATCAAGACACGTGCAGCAATAGCAGTTCGCATGGACTTTGGAAACTACCAGGTAGTAATGACTTGTATGAACCTTTCTGTAGTTCTGAATCGCGCCGCGCCCATTATTATTACTCACTTTATCTCAGTTAAACGCAGGCTATCAAATAAAGACGTCCCATGGATTGTACGAGTCTTTTGAGAGAGAATATTATGACATGATGCGTGCAGCTTTCTTAAAATATAGGTTAGTATAATGGCAACGGAATTCTAGTCAATTGGCGCAATCGGGGTAACTCAAAGATATTTTGATTCAGCCTTCAAGTGAGAATAGGTCAGATGGATGGAGTTTTTGTTGCGTTCCATAATACGGCAAGAACATTTGGGTTTCAATATATACCGTTAGAGGAAATGGATAGATGTTTATTTGGGAATTCATATATGGGAGATCAGTCTTTTCTCATCTCTTTAAAGTTACTTAATGAAGTATTCGACACGGCTACAAATAGATTCCCCAACAAGGTATGCGTCTATCATATGTTTTTTTACAAGATTTTGATCCAAATTCTCAAAGTAGTGATGCTCAATTTCATCATCTCTTGTATTTAAATTCGTACGTTAGACACTCCGCATGACGTTTCAAAACCATCTTAAAGCACCGTTAATGAACGTCTACATTGAAGTTTGCGAAGACGATCCCCAGGCCGAGCAAGCGACGCCTCTACCGCCTGGCCCCGACACTATAGAGAAATATCATGTTGGATGCTACTCGATAATCAACAAGAGACCCACATTTCATCCGTTTAAATTGCGTCAAAATGAACCTTGGAAGTTGAAGTACTATATATCGCGACGCCAAATGATGCCTACAAAAATTAAAGACGAGATGAAAAGGGCAGTAGTCAAACAACTCAAGGCGTGGGGAGCATTGAAAGAAACTCAGGGCGAGGAGCCTGACCTAGATCATTTCCAAAAACTATTAAGGAAAATGAGCGAAAAAGGATTTAGAGAAATGGCACGAGAGGTGGATAAGGATCATATTCTTTGGGTACCAATGGGTAATACTGGTAATGGGCAGAGTAATATGTATAATAGAGATGAAAGCCGGCCTAATGAAACAAGATAGATCTCGTTAGAAGACGTAGGAATATCAGATAGCAAAATTTGGAAATCACTCCTTGCTACTTTTTGGTAAAAAAAAATACGACTTGTTGAAACGACAACTTGCAAAGTCAAATCAAATCAAATCAAATCCAACTGTTATCTGCTATCTGGTCATGAATACTTGATTGATACGTGATTGATCACTATAATGAACTAATACTACTGGTGGTTTGCGTTCGAACTAATACTACTGGTACGGTTCCCACTCCTTAATGATGATGCTCCTTTTTGCTTGCATACAAGAACTGCCACACACACACCCCTTCCTGAAATCAAGGGCTCTTCTAGATTGAAAGAAATTGGAGGAGAAAGCATCCGTTATTCTTTATTGTAAAATACCCCGAACATGAGCAGTGATATATGGTTTGGAAATAATCCTTGGAACACGAAATAATGGACATATTGGATTTTAATGCATGATTCAAGTAGTAACATTCTTTGTAATTGAGTGTTTCTTTACTTTTTCATTGTTACGTACTAATAAGGAAAACTACCAATCCTGCTAAAATTAGTAAGATTTACATAATCAGTTCGATAATCTCTCGTAGATCGAAGAATGCAACATGCATAAAACATGAGGTTTGGCGTAGGGAGTCTCCAATAAGCATGAGGCTGGATATCTTGTGTCGATCTATGTTGGTACATTATTTATTCGTACAATAACAATACGTCTAATGAAATAATTTATATGCACAATGCTATCTATTCTAAATGATTGAATTTTTTGACAGTGGAATTATACAGTGCATTATTATCTGAGCATCCAGTACTCGTGTAATTAAGTGTAATAGGTTACAAGAATGATGCTCGTGTGGCTTAAAACCACAAATCTTCTCTCAAATAATCTCCGGGTCCCTTAACACCTGCATTCCCCTCGAGAAACAATTCTCCCTGAGCAGCTCTCTCCTTAATAATATTCCTTGTTCCAACAATTAAATGGTCAAGAACTTTTCTTCCTAATTTACTTCTGATTCCATTCCGGGCAACTTTTCTTGCCAGCTGTATCCAACTTCGCACTGTTAAATCGTCCATGTTATAGTCGTGCTTCGTCGTATATTCTATTTCATACCGCGGGCGAACGCGGGGATTTGCGTTAGCCTTTCTTAGATTGATGTAGTACTGATCGTATCCGAGTAGAGTAAGGAAGGTGTTCGAATGTACTGGTGACTGCGGGTCGTGCGGGCGGGGACGGGTAGATTGGACAGAGATGTTGGCGGTAATGTCAGGGAACTCGTCTTCACCATCCCAATTATCGGCGTCACTTGAATCATCTTCACTTGTAAGAACTTTATTGTCCTGATTTTCCCCTATGACCTCATCATACATATTTGTATGAAAATCTAGTACTTTCTCTGCAGTTTCTGCTTTTTTTGTATTCGATTCCGTTGTCGTATTATATTGAAATATTCTCAAAGCCGGGAAAAAGGTTGGAATAATTGAAGGGTTTATATGAACAACGGCATAATCACCATTTTCAACTTGTCGAGCTGGGGGAACTGTTTCATAATGCCGAAATAGACGATGAATGTAGCGGCCGAGATTATACACTGTTGTGGAGACCTTGTCTTTGGAAGCAGACATAGACGTATTATTTTCGGACGGGAAATCGAAGAGTTCTAGGCTTGTATTTTCGGAATCTTGTGTTGGATACTCGTCATCATCGGCCGTCTCATCTTCAATCTCATCTTCCATTTCTAGCTCTTCATGCTCCATAGTTCTTCTTCTTTTATTGGGGGTAAGAAAGAAAAAGTGGTCCATGTTGGAATGTCCAAAGAAATGTCCCAATATTATATCGTGGTATTTGTGCGCTATTTTTACATACTGCCTATAACAAGTTGGGGTATAGTGCTTTCGTCTTGGGGCGACGTGTCCAACCAAATAAGCTCTCATGCCTCTCTGCTGAGTCCTTTTCAACACATTGTCCAACCATACCATATGATTTTTCCCCGGTTCACCGACCGTTTTGCATCCATGCACGGCGGAATTCGCCTTGAAGAAATATAGTGTGTTCAATGATACTACAACCAACTTGTTTGGTATAACTTCTTTGACAAAGTAACCTCCTCGTCGGAAAAATCGCATTTGTGTCTTGGGGATGAATGGAGCCCACAAGTCGGCCAAAGAGTCAAGCATGAAATTTGGTCCGGCCGAGATAACGTTTGTTGGGTAGACGTCATTGTTGCCAATGCAGGGGATGATGGGAATCATTTTGGAGTAGTTGGGCTTGCCATGTTTTATAGGGGCAAAGGTTTGAATGAATTTATCTGTTACTAGACGATTAAGGTCGATAATTTCTTTTTCTTTGCGAGGAACCGAGTCGTCGTTATCATGTCTGTGAAAGTTATGAATAAATTCGTTAATACCCTATCTTACAAGAGTATATGCACTCGGCACCGCTTTTATTATGTATCGCTTACCTTGCATTATCACCAGTCCATATAATGAAATCCAGTCCGTCCCTCCAGTTTTCGCTCAACCAATCAAACGTAGTATCTACCAGACCAACAGGTGAATCACATATAGTACCAGGTGCGCCCCACGGACCAGCAGTTCCTCTCTTCATATGTTTTGGTTTTTTCATAGTTTGCAAGGCTATTCGATGACATGATGAACGGGCAGTTGCATTTGTTCTGTAGTATGGATCAGGATGTATGTCCGTGATGTGAAGAAAGTTGCCACGTAGTGAGTATCGTAGTTCTTGTTCGCTTGGAGTGTCCCATGAGAATAGCCAGTATGCTGCTGCAGCGGTTATGAATAACCATGCGAATGGTATGCAACAGAGTATGGGCCGTGAATTTGTCATTTTGTGCATTGACTAGGGATGTTACCTTTGTCTGTTGCCTTTATATATATTTATATACACATACATATTTTTAATGTATGGCGGTGATTGATATATTTATATTAAAATACAGTATTACAAGGCTTGTACACATATCCGTTTTGGTATGGTCGGAGTGCTGTAATTCGTCACATTTGCGGCATTGACAACTAAAGTAATCACTTGAGATAGTGTGATGTTTACTGTGTGTCAAGCACAGCAGGTGAACGTATAACAATGAGGAGAGCAAAAAAGAAGAATAATGTTAATAAATTGGCGTTAGTAATAATGATAAGACCATAATAATTTGATTACGTTATACGTTATGATGGTTTGGTTGAAGTCGATTATTTAACAATAACTGTCTCATCTATATGTCTCATATATTTGCACTTCACATCACTTTGTTCAACGTATGACGTAACTGCAGACCCTTATGTTTGCATCATCGACCGATGGCGTAGGGGCTTGCCATTTTTGAAAGCCAGTCCAATGTACAAAGGAGAATGTGCTCAAACATAAAACCCAAATTGGTAACACAACAGACGATAAGTGCGTATATAAATATAAACACATTACATAATGTTATGATTCATACTCGCCACAGTGCCTTCCATTTCATTCTGTTTCACAATGTATAAATGTAGTCGTCAGCACATTCTGATTCTTATTATTGTTTATTGTTATTATTATGATTATTATTACGCTTCCCACATTATACATATTTCCAGAGTGAGAAATAGATCGGTAAATATTACAGCCGTTCTTGAATATATGTCATATGCTGACATTTATTATTTTATGATTATCATCTGTCATCCAAACAATCCCGCAAATACCTTTTCAAAAAAAAGTTAGGCGGAATTACTATATAGAAACTTTGTATGTACACAAACAGGCTGCAAACAGGAATTTTGGTTACAAAGATACGGTGCACGCGCCGAGTTTTAAGCAAAACAGGATTGATTGGCAATGTTGTACGGCCGTATCTGTACTCAAATAATATATTAATGTTATCGCACATGCCTTTTGCCATGACGATAGTCTGCAATGGTGGCGATCGTCATTTAATTAATGAACATAACGTCACAACCCATTTTCAGGGGTTAATAATGCTGGAACATCATAATAGTATTATAGCTTTATTTACGAGTTACTCTTTTTTTTTCTGCAGACACATTAGTCTTTTCAGGCTTAAATTGTGCTTTTGGGGCAGTCTTTCAATTATTAATTCTAGTTTTGATATTAATATGCAAATTGTTGATATGCAAAATTAAAATGTGAGAGAATAAATCTCCCCAGCAAAAATTTAAGTGCAAAAAAACGCCCACAGAATTATGCCTGAATGATATCTCCCCTACATTCTCCGATGGTATTACAAGTATTTTGAGATGTGTGGCAAAAACGGTCATAATGTTCGCAGACATGCATGCACAATTAGAGTTGGCAGTAGTATAT